TTTCTTCTCATGAAGCCAAGCTAGCTCTGACTGATGACTGCATTGTCTTTCAGGTGTTATTCAGTACCTTCCAGAATAATCTTCTCCATAACTTTACCAGATAATGAACCAAGACTGACAGGCTGGTTCACTTCCACACTATATCCCCATTAAAATCTGTGGAAATTGAATGGAATCTTCCTTGAGTAGTGGTAACTACCTTCTGGTGTTTGCCAGTGCAGTAGTGGCAATTTTCATTCTTGAATGTGCTTGTGAAGAGATGACCTTTGATTTAACTGATGAGGGTACACAGTAAGCAAGCAAAAACCTGGTGACTGCATCTGAATGAATGAAAAGAATCAGAAAGTTTTCAGCTGAAAGGCAGAACATCAAACTTCACCATAAGGCATTGACTTACATTATGAATGAAGATGGTATCGGTAGAGTTTTCCTGAGAAAAGTGGATATAGAATTGCAACTTGGACAGGCTTAAAACTCAGAGTGCTGAGAAAGAGGTGGTGCTAATATGAAGTCACTTGGGTCATCTGAAAGTGAGAACAGTTTTATAATTACATCTGTTTTGACAGAAATCAGATCTGAGTGAGAACACCTTGACTGACAAAGAACATATTTCTTCATCTTTTTGAAAATTAGTTAATCCTGACTAGAAAAATTCCACCCTGGTATCACTATATAAAACCATTTCTGAGGAAGAGGCTTATTAGGAAACACTGTAAGTTGTCATAAGAACAAAAGAGAGCTTTGCCAGAGAAACAGACTTAGAGCAGGAGAAGCACATTTGGTGTGAGACACACGACAGATCTGCTGTCGTCCCCCATCTTATCTTAGCAAAAATGTAGTAATTGCTAAAGAAGAAATCCTTCAAATTCATCCCTCAAAGCAGTAATTCTTGCTGTCAGTCATGATGATAAGAAGGTGAATTGTGTGCCATTGCTGATTTTTTTCTTCCTACTGTTATTAATGCAGTGTTAATGTTACAATGTTAACCTAGTCTTAAGATCTAACACGTGTTACCAGAAAGTCTTTAGATGCTTACAGTTTATAATGGATGGGTACAGCAAAAGTGATAAAAATAAAAAAAAAGTCATATGAATCTTACCATATCTAACACCTCCCCAGCTCAAGAGTGCATTACTGGAATTTGTCTTGAAAAAGTGTGTTTTTCCAGACCACTTTATGGACAACTGGAAACTCTGAAAGAACATTGCAGTTGTTGGAAGATGAAGCAGATTTACTGTGTTTGTGAAGTCAATCTGTATTGACAACATTACCTATGTCTTTAGTTGTTTATGGATGTGGCAGTTTCTTGTTGATTCTTTAAAACTGAATCTAGTAACAAGCAGTAAGTTAATGTCATGTTTTCTTCCTCCCATATAGGGGATGAAATTCAGTATTTAAAATGTTTTGTAAAGTCTAAGTCACCTCTGTCGTTTAAATCTATTAATATAATTTTATTATTTAAACCGTGTTTATAGTTAGTGGGGTGAAGGCTTTGATCCAGAATTAAGTTCACTGTGCTTTATTTGGTCAGTGTGGTTTTTTTATAAGGCTGAATATCTGCACTCTGATGCAGATATTAAACTTGTCCATACTGAAGTGTTTCACAGGTGTGTAGAACCAGAGGAAGAATCATAATTACTGAAATAATCAAAAAGCACTTGTGCTTGTAAAACCATGTTATTGATAGTAAAATGCACAGAGTAGAGTTTGAATTTATTAATGATAGTTGCAATTAAATTCAGTACATGTGGTTCTTAATGTAACATCACAGCAATTTGGTACAGCTTGCACAGATATCTTAAACTTGAGGCAAGATATATCTGTTTCGTGACAATAGTTTTTGAAATACACAGGGCCTCAAGGGCAAGAGTCTCTGGTCCATTAAGTCTGCTTTGTATTACTGCAGTGGAATGACACGGTCCTAAAACGAGCCCAACCTGAACTGGCCAGAGGAGAATTCCATGTAGGATAAGGGCAAAAGCGCATAGTGTTGTCCTCTGGGACAGGGCTGGTGACTGAAAGCCATGCCGAGTGGTAGCAAAGACATCTTTTTCTCTTTTTAATGCCCCAGGTTCTTGCTTGCTAAGTAGGTGATCTGAAGGTCCTGACCCTGCTAAATTTTACCTTAAGCAGTCTGCATGTGTTGGATGCTGGGCAGCGGAACTAGGACAGACAGGTCTTTTGGGTCTTCAGTTGAGGCTTTCAGAAAGGAGACGCTGTAATGCCAGTTGTTGCGGGTCACTTGCAGTTTAACTGAGATCTGAACCAGAGTGTTGCAACCCTTAAGAACTCCGTGATTTTTGGTGTGGTATAGTTCATCCTTATTTTCAATGGGTGTGAGTAAAACAGCTAGGTAACAGGGTAAAAGTGGCATCTTTAGGTTTTTAGAATGGATGGTGTTTATATACCTAGGAAATAAATGATTTCTCTAATCTAAGCTATTGGCTAGCCCCATGTAGAGCTTGTTTATGCTTTTCCCAACTGTTTTTTGTAGATCCAGTTGTGGAGCTGTGCTGTACTATTACAAAGCTAGCATCAGGTTAGTGAACCTTGTCTGGAGCGAGAAGGCCTGTACTGACACAGCTGATAATCTATTAATTCCTTGAGGCTGTGAAAAAATCTTTGAGGCAGGTGAGTCCTAAGTGAAACTAGAAAAATCATGTAGGAGCTGTAATAATTCAGGCTGATGTGAGACAGAAAAAGAAGCTTCTGTTTACTACATTTCAGATTTTTTTTTTCTTGGAGACACTCCAGCTGGAGAAGCATGAGAGAACTGACCTTTAATTTTAATATCATTGCTATGATATATAAGAAAAATGAGGATAGGGATCTTATCCAGGAAGGACATTTCTTTTATTTCTGTCCTTCATTTGTTTATATGTATATTGTTTTAAAATCCAGCCTTAGAAATAAAATGTTTTCTAAATCATCCTGTATGAATTACATACTTAAGGTTTTGCTTATTTTTTACTTCATATGGGGTGATCTTGGCAGTTTTTAACATCTTTATCAGTGAGTCAATAATCTTTTGGAGCCTTATTCTGCAGTCAAAAGTAATGCTTCAGTATGGCATGCGTGAGAATGCGCCAAGAGATTAACGTGACTTCAGGTGTCTACAGAAGGCAGTATCTGTCATTTGCTGTGCTGTTATAATGATGAACTACAACCAAAACAACCTGATTGAACAAAACAAAAAAAAATCTGATTAATAGGAAACAAATTAAAAGTACATATTGCAACGCAAACCCATGGATAATTCTTGCTTATACATTTTGGCAGTTTTTCCACAAGCATTGTCTGCTGCAGTATGACAGTGCCTAGCATTACAAGTAAATTTTTGTGTTAGAAATTGAACACAATGACATTGTAAATATTCAAGGAAAAAATACCAAGGGAAGTACGTGGGTCCTAACTTGCAGTTACATTTTGTTCCTGATGAGTGTGACGTTTTAAATTTAGGAGAATTAGCTTTATAATGCAATACTGTGTGCAGGTGTAACTGTTCTTGTGTATATAAGCTTATGTCATGCTAAAAGGTGTTGTTTTAAAATGCAGATTCTGAACAGTTGCTGGAACTTCCTAGGAAGTGCCAGAATTTGTTACCAAGGTCCCTAATTCTGCTCTCCTTTGCCTTTGCGTTGTGATCTCTAATTGCATTGTTTCACACTATTTTTTCCTGCCTCATTCAGTGAACAGGATAGGCGGTGCTCAGGAATTGAGCAGCTACTTGATATTTTAGGCCTTATCATTCATTTAGCAGCCACGGCTTTATTTACTGCACACCATTTAAAATTCTCTAAAGAATACATAATTATTTATTCCCCTATGGCCTTTTCTAGGGTGCCTGGCTGAACTATTTTTGTCCATTTGATTGTATTTTCATGCATGTTTTCTGATCAATGCCCATAACTTTACTTTCTTTGCTGTGTGAAATAATTGTGTGTGCACACTTACACAGAGTTCATGTACGTAACTACTTTTGGAAGAGTTTTGCAATTATTCCCTTTGATAACTTATTGAATGGAAACTGAGTAGAAACTTTACAACATCCTTTTTTGAGGTTACTGTAAATAAATATAAAAGAATGCAGTAAAAGGAGTAAATGCATCCATCCATATAACTTGAACCATTCTCATATGCAGCCTTGTCTTTCATGATGCTCTTCAACTTCACATGTATCTTGACTGTATGACCTCTATGTCAGACAAGTTGTCCCTTTGTTTGAATGTAGTTGATATCCCCTGCTGGGCATGATTGCAAAGACAACTTAACTAATTAGCTTTCAGAATATAAGTTCATGTGAGAAATAAAAAAAAGGAAGGTGGTGGAACACTGCAGCAGATTGCTAAAATAACAGTAAAATGTTTGTTTGTAATTTCCATTTGACATCGAGGTATCTGGCCAGTCACATACAAAGTAGTTAGTTGTTAATTGTTCTCAGCAAGAGTTTTAGAAATGTTTAACAACAGTGTTTCTGTTGTTATGCTAGTACTTTGTGGAAGATTGTAATCAATTATAATTATTTATAGTGGACAAAACTGTTATGTACTTCATCTTTTTTGTCTTAAAGAACATAGTATAGAAAGCTTGGTGGTGATGGTCATCTATTTAGCTTGTGATCCTGTTGTAAACAACTTTTGCAAATGATCAGTGTTAGAAGAACTTAGTATATCTTTGTCACTGACTCTTGCAAATTTTAGTAGTGTTACCAGTGCATCATAGCTGACTGTAAGGCTTTTCCATAATATCTATTGCCTGAAATACTTTAATATTGCTGCTACAAAAAGGCCTAGTCTTTTCCAATTGCTAATGATAATATTTCAAATAAGAGTAGAAGGTGGTACATATAAAATATATATCATCTTTTATTGTTGTCACAACACGTCTTCTGTCTCTCTGCTACTAGTGGGACGACAGGATTACAGTACTTTTCTTAAAAAGGCCACTTTCAATTGAAATGTTTTATTCCTAATACACTGTAACTTTTTTTTCTGTTGCAGAAGGAGTTGAGCCTTCCAAGAAGAGGAAGTTTGTAAGTATATGAAGTTTTTCTGTATTGTGCTCACAGTATAGTACATGGTTTTTATGATTTTAGAGTGGACTAGTCTTCTTCTCAGGACAGTTAAAATGGAGGTTAAGTGTGGTGTTTGATCTGCCTTAGAATACCTGGAAAGAAATGAAGATTGTAAATGAAAACCTGAGGATTGTGCAGTCACCTTTTTATGCCTGTCTTTTAGAGGAGCTGTGTGAGGGATTTTCAAAGTGACAAAAAGTTCTTACGTTCAAGTTTTTGTTTCGTATTGAAGATTTTTCTTGTTAAAAATCAAGGAAGAAATCTGATTTCTTTATGAATGATATCAAATACATGTATCATGAAAGTAGAACTGTTTCCTTAAGAAATTCTGTGAACAGTCCAGTGGATGAAAAGGTAGGAACAAAGAATAGATGAGTTCTACTGAACGTATAGGATTGTTAAGCTACTGTTTTGATTATGGAAGTAAAGACTGTATATTCTTGTATAAATTGTTACTTAGTTATGATAATATGTATTCTGATACTGAGTTTAATTGTATCTGTACAATTTCTGTACCTTGGATTTGATTTTCCAGTAGTTTTGAGCTGTTTGGTTTGAAAGCATGTATTTTTTATTTGTATGTCTTATTTTCTTGTTTTCTGTTAGTAATTTGTTGAGAAAGTATTGGACTATGAACATAACAATGTCTTAAGAAACAAACTCTATTCACTTACTACTTTCTTTCAAAAGTGCTTTAGTACTACAAGACAATCTCTGTACGTGAATAAGCTTGCGTTAGTGTGACAACACATTGTGAAACAAAACGCTAAGCTCTGGCACAAGGGGCTAGTTACTCGGTTTCAGCTTGATATTTCTGTGTAGCTTTTGGTGATAGTAAGGTTAGGTATGTGAATAACTGAAACTAACTGCTGGGAAAGTGGATTTAAGTGCTCTGCTGTTCTGACTTAAATGGCATACCAGAAGTCTGTACTTCATAGGATATCTACTGTCTAGGAAAAGACTCGTGTTTTAGGTTCTGATGCATAAGAAATCTTAAACAATAAGCAAACATATTAATTAGGAAAAATCAAGAAAATATAAAACTAATTTCACATCAAATATTTGATTATTGGAATGACAGAGTGAAAAAACCGTTAAGGAAAATGGTTTTTGGTGCCTTCTTTTGGTGTCCTTGGTACTTTATATTAACCTGAAACTGTTGTGTGGGCAGAAGACAGACTCTTTTAAAGTTAATGGCTAAACTCCTGTTGACTTCAGCCAGAGCAGAAAGTGGCTCTTGAAACTTGACCTTGCTTACTCTTGCTAGGATGTCTGACATTGAATCTTATTAGATATTTTTCTCTGAGTTTGAAAAATGACTGCAGTGTAGTCACCTCAATTGCATTCACATACATATTTTTGTGGCTGATCGCTGAGATGTAAGTGCACCTTCTGTAACGTTGCTGAGACTTTATTAAAGTATAGTAAAGAAATAGCCCCTTGTCAGCATAATCATATCTAGTTATTAAAGTGCTTAGGTTTCCGCAGATGGTATTTTAAAGTGTCTTTGATACTACTGTCTTGTTTAACAGGGCTCACAGTGCTGAGGTTAACAATGGCTGTGGCATCAGAGATGGTGTGCATGGGCCATGTTGGCTGCTGTATTTGCATGTTTTATGCATGTTGACACGAAGACTGAATTTCAAAATGTGAAAAGTCCTATGTTTTCATTGTGAAAAACATCTAGAGGTCCTGAATGGCTCCAGGGAAGCACAACACACTGTATTCTGGAGCTTCAGAGCCAGTGGCATGCCAAGGATGCACCTTTAGGCAGGACAAGGAGAGCTGATTCAAGGGTGAGCAACCTTAGCATAGTTGGCATAAACAGAGATAAAGGTGGTGGTTGAGAAAGAAGTGAGGTTTTCCATACTCAGAGCGTGCCCTGGCTGTGCTGGCACAAGTGGTCCAGTGGACACAGGCAGAACTGATCCTGGTTGCACCTTGCTTCATGCAGGTTCTTCAGCATGTTTAACTGCCCAGCTGCACAAACACCTTCTGGCAGCGGGTTGTGATGGCATGGAGGCAGAATGAATATCTGGGAGCTTTCTCTCAGGCTGTCTCCAGTAGCAAAACTGACTTTATATAAGCTTAACATGATTGTAAATCTGCACGGCTGTTAGTATCCCACTTTCAAGTCCATTAGAAAATTATACTGAAGTACATTTTTGCACACTGCCACTGTGGAGATGGATTATTTATATCTTGTTAGATATTTTTACTGATTTGTTATTTTCACCAAACACTTCCAGATACCAAGGAAGACATTTATGTTTAATGTTAAGCCAGACTCAGAAATAGAGATTTAATTTGATCAGAATTAAGTGTTGCTGTTGTCTGTCTATGAAGCATGCAAATTCTCTGATGAACCAGGGAATGTCTGATAACATCTACAAATCACTATGCTTTAGACATTTAGAGTGTATCTAGCTGAAGTAGGTAGCCAGAGATGATCTCTCAGTGCATGGTGTGAGTTAAAGCAGGTGAGTTTCCATCACTGAATTAAGGCATGAGTGATCCTTATCCTGATTTGTTTCCTTACCATACCCACAGAGTTCAGCAAAATAAAAACAGGAGAGAGACAGGGCGTGAACTCAAAGGTTGTGGCACAAAAATTAAACTTAGCTTTGAGTAGGTACATTCTGGTTTAAAATGCTCTTCTCCTAAAAACAAATTAATTGGGCTTCTCTGAGGTGGAGAGGAGCTGTCAGAAACAGAAACACATAAAAGAAATGAGTGACTAGAGGCAGTTTCTCCTTTATTTAGAGCTTCCATGGTTAAAGTACCTGCCCTAGAAGTAAAATACCTGACTTTTCCAGACTAAATCTGTTCTCTTTCTGTCTTCTTTTGTTATTTTTTTTCAATTTCAGTTTAATTTGGAGAGGACCTCTTTTATGTATTTATTTTTGCTGCATCTGTCTTTCTCCTGACATTTCTGAAAATAATTTCAGTAATTATAAAATATGGACTCAGGTTCAGTACCAGCACTTATGTAATCTGCTTGCTCCTGTGGAAATGTCAAAGTTGTTCACAGAATTTTCATTAAACTAATTTATACATTACAGTGAAACAGCTGATATCCTTGGATAACAGCAACATAAGATTGTGACCAGCCAAGAGTGTTCAAGAGGAACACTAGTTAAAGCCACTTCTTGCTTAGGCACTTGATTAAATAAGTTTCAAGAAAGTTACAAACAGTTTCGTAAGCAAGTTTTTTATCAGTGAAAAATACGGACTGTCAGTTCCCCTTAAGGAAAAAGTGGGAATGATCCATTGAGTGGAATGGAATTATGAGATCGTGCCTACAATGCTTAAGAAAAACAAAGAGAAGAGCTCTAAGGCTCTAAGGACAAAACTGGTATTGGATTGACAGTTTCTGTGTGCACATAGATTTCTATATAATAAAAAATTGGATATGTTTATAGGTGACCTGCTATCTTCAATTTGGAGAATGGCATAGATTAAATATTGTTGCTAAGTAATGAATTTCTCTGTTCTAATATGGATGGATTGTGCCCTGAGAGATACATTCCATAGCCCATTTTGATTCTTAAAATGCGTATTTAGTGTTGTTACCAGCATTATTTCTGTCCTTACCTTTCGGGGGTTTTCTACTGCTGTCACTGAGTTGAATTTTTTTTCCCCTGCATCTCTTGGGTTCCTTGTGACTGACAAAGAAAAATTTGATTATGTTTTTTATATGATTTAGGAGCCAACAGTTACTGTGACATGATTCTTTTCCCTCACAATCTTTCTTACTTCAGCCTCCATACATGTTTTTGCAAGTCTGCTGACCATTGTCTGTGTTTCCTTCTTTTAAAGTTGTATTGGGCTAACAGGTAGAGTAGTGGCATGTACAGTGTGCTGGGTAGCCTTGTTGCCACCTTCCTGTTGCCAGTCAGTGTAGAGTCTTCTGCAGATAAGTCGTCCGTGCTGTGGAGAGCACAGGCCTGATTTCGGTGTAAACAACACATCCCTTGGTATTTTATTGCTGTTAGTTGTGTCCTTGGCTATCAGTATAGGTCATTCTGTTTAATCTTGTTTTGATGGGTCTTTTTGGTGCTTGCACACATAAATTTGCATCCCTGCTTCATTTACACCAATATTAATATTATTACTTGTATCTGCAGTTGTCTCTTAACTCAGATTTTACTAGTATATGTGTGGATTTTATACATTTATGTCCTCTATGATTTATCACATCACATGTTAGAGAAAGGAATGATCTATTTCAATGTAATTCATCGTGTCCCTTTTCAGTGAAAGATTACATATACTATTTGTGAGTATTTTAAAGCTTTGTGATACCCTTTAACTATTAAATTCATGCTCATCTGTGTGTGTGCATGCACACAGCCTTTATCTATACATGAAAAAAAAAAGTCAGATGGTGCTGGTGATGACTTTTTTTGTGTATTTGAAAACTATTCAAATACATAACAAAATTTTTCAAATAGCAATCTCCCTGGAGGGGATGCCTAGAAAATGCCTAGAAAATGAGGTGGTCATGCTTTAAAGCTTAATTGTATAATGTGGTATTTATCTGCTGTTGTTCTATGAGTGCTGTGGTATCTAAGTAATGTAAAGTGACCAGATACTGTGCGTCTCCACAGCACACTGAGTGTGCTGTGCCCTGTTGGAATTTTGCTTCAGCTACTTAGGCAAGGACAGGACAGGGTCAAGAATGAAAAATAATCTTAAGTAGTTCTTTATCAAAACTCTGATCAGACTTAAGCCACAGGGGAAAAGCAAAATTAAATCAGCCTATAGGGTCAAGCCATAGTTCTGTAGGCATGTGGCAGAATTTCAGGATGGGGTTGTCACATGATGCTTGGTGGAAGCAAAGAGAATTAAGTATCTGGGTGCTTACATGCTTTGCCTAAATTGAAAAATGTTCATGCAGTACAATAGTTTAAAATATTTTTATACATGCAAATAATTATTTTATAGCACGAGGTTCA